GATTTTTGCTGACTGACATGACACTTGCAGATGGATTTTTTGTGTAAGAATGTGCATCATTATATGCAAAATTACATTAATCTTTCATGCTTGTCTGTCCCTAGTGCTTGCATAGTTCAAGGTTTTTCTCCACTGTTTCTAAACACTGTTAAAATTATTAGTCTTGGTGTCTAAAACAATCATTCCGTATCTGTACCTGTTCTAACAGTATTTCTACAGACTATTCAAATGCTGCTTACAAGAGCTGAAAATACCCCTCTCTCTCCTTATGTATACATACACACAAATATGCTTGTATATATAGTGAGTGTATATATCTTTTTTCCTAAGAAATAAAAAGCAAAACAAAATCAAAACAAAAGTGATAAAATTTTTACACTTCACATTAAACAATTATGTATACAGACACACACATACATATATACATACATATTGCATATAACTTCAAAATCCCCCAATCAGTATTAGCAAAGTTCTAGGGTTTGTTGTTTTGAAAATTTGTAATTAAAAACTAGAGTTATTTTGATTATATCAAAGGCAAGGAATTATCATTTTGCTGCAGAAATACCTATCACTATAATAACTCAGGAATTATTGACAGCAATTACTTTCATGTAGGGCCTCTTGGAAGATCAAAGCACAATATTTAAGCTACCATATTCAGTTTTGCATTAGCAATAAGAACAATATTTTATCAATACCTGTAGACTGTGCAAAAAGTGACCAATAAAACTGCTCATCATGCAAAAATGCAGAAAGCTTCAAATATCTTACCATTGCTTAGCTGCAAAATAAATTCTTCCTATGAGAGCATACAGTTGGTTACCAGGTTACATGCCTTTTTAAATGAACATGATGACATTTAGAAAGTTATGAGTACAGTCTAATTAAAATCGAATAGTAAATAAGATTTATTTTGTAACAGAAAACATGCTCAGTGCTTTCCTAATGTAAGTAAGTTATGCCTAGTATTACAAAATTAATTCACTCAAAGAACAAGGACATGAAAATAAAGAGGGCTCATGTCTACAGAGAAATCAATAAAGGCAGTAAAAATGACTAATGTTAGCCAGATTGATAGCAACTCCATCCTCTTTGCATCTAGTTGCTTAAGTTTGGAAATTAAGTACAAAGACTATTGCAAGGCTTAAGATTGAGAAATCCCAAGAAATTTAAAATTTGATGAGCAAATGACAGAAGTACACAGCATCTATTTCAAAACATCATGACAAAAAGGCAATGAAAAAATGAGGTTTCCAGAAAAAACTTTGTGAGAACATATAGAAAATCATTCAAGTAGAAAAAAAACTTTAAAAAATCCAACATAAAAAGACATAAAAATACCATGTCTAAAAAGTTTTCTGCAGGCTTGACAATCTCCAGAAGGGCATGTATAAATCATTCTGATAGCTGGAAAAGAAGCTAAATGTTCAAATATTTGGCCCTGTTCCAATTTAGGGGAAAAAAACCCAAACAAACAAAAAAACGTACACAATGTATTTTGATAAGAGGAAAAAGCTTCTTTTGTCATTTGAGAAGGATCCAGATTACATATTTGGTAATTTATTTAATATTTTATATTATTTAATGATTTTTCAACCACTTCTAATGCATAATTGAGAAAGTTTTTCTTTTTCAAGGACATTTTGTTCTTAAGTTTCAAGTAACGGCATTCTGAAGGAACGACACCAATGGTGTACCTCATTTGAACAGTCACACATACTCCAAAACATTTTAACACCCCATCTCACATAGCAAGCAAGAACTAAGGGTTCTGCCTCTACATATAGAAAAAGCAATATGCAATTAGTTCAACGCTTCAAAACACGGGATGCTTCCCTATGACACCTAAAAATGTTAGCACTCATGTCACAGACTGAAGTCAATAGGATTAGAACTGCTAGTGATAACTTTTTTTTCATTCAGTGTCAACACCAGTTCATCTGTTGTTATTTACTGCACAGTAAGTTTAAACCAATGCTATTTATCCAATCCTCAAACACTTTTTCCCTTTGTGATTCTGCCCTAAAAATGGACAGGCTTACTTTTGCCTAAATGTCAGTTTGTAATTGTGCATAAACAGATGCAAAAGAGTAAAAACTAGGATGACAAGTGAGACAAGCTATGATTCTGTTAGGGCTTCCTTTATTTATTTATAATTATGTGTAAAATTTTACAAGATACTAATGTATTTCTAAAATATTAGCTCCAATTATCACTATTTGTCAATACTTGCAGGTATCTCAACAGTGGAGCGAGCTCTTGTTGAACTGAATTTTTGGAAGAGTCACTGTTCTTACCATAGCAGCCATATCCCTGCTGTAGCAAAAGATTGCCAAATTCTTAAAAAAATGCATAAAGGCCAGATTTTAACTATTGCTTAGCCTTAGCTACAGTTAAAAGTACTGTTTCAGTTTAAATTTGTTAATTCCCACTTTCTAATGCACTAAGCACTTCAGAGATTTGTTTATTGCATGTAACCAAAATAACCCAAAAACCAACAAAACACAATCCACTCTGTAAGACCTTTGGTTACTTTTACTGAAATTAATACAGCTGTAGTGCATAAAGTAATTTGGTAAAAACACACAAACAAAAAAACCTACCAAAGTTGAAGATAATTTGAAAAAGTAAATATTACTTCAGAACTCACTTATTTACATACGTGCCTTTTGATCACTTTATGTCCTTGAGTAGGAGAGAATACTTCCACTCCAGACTTGTAAATATATAAGTTTACTCCAAGAGAAGTTACAATGAAGAATAAGATCTGGCAAGCCTGATCACTGAGGAAGCCACAGCCAGCTACCAGTGTACAAGATTGCACGAGGAGAGCTCTGTCTTTCAGCACTCCACTGTCAACCTTTGATGGTTTGAGGTTTTTTCAGTAACCTTCAAGCCTTGCACTGTGTATGCCCAGGTTCAAATTTGCTATAAGGTTTTTGTGTACAATGAATTTTAAGCTTTAAATGTGTGTATGTAGAAAAGTCTCAATGTAAACTATCTTCAGTGTAAAAATTGTACAAAAGCCTTCACAATTTCAGTATCTAATACACCATTGTACACCACCAGTTATCTAAATATTGGCCATAGTCCAAAAAAAGCAGGAACCGCAAGATACACACTCCAACTTCACATAATCCAAAATAATTATGGGAGGAAAAAACCCCTCCTCAATTTACTTGAAATAAAGCACTCAATTTTATTATAAGAGAGTACCAGTGGACAGGGCTTTCAGTCAGCACCCACCACCACACCACTGACTTTTTATTAAATATTTAGCTCCCTATGTTCTTAAATATTTAGTTCCCTGTTAGCACTGAAAACTGTAATGCAGTTTTCTCATTTTGCCTGTAGGAGGAGTGTTAGGCAGCTAATAAGCACAATTGTATTTCATCATTACCAAAAAAACCTTATTTAAAGGATAAGCTATTAAGCATTTTTCTAGCTAAACCCAGAAGTTTCCTTTCAAATTTTAAAATAGAAATAATTAAAAAAACAAACTTTAAACTGTTTCTCTTCAATTAGGAAAAATGTTTTTAAACCCGCTACAAATTATATTCATAGCTTACATTAAAACTTTTTTAAAGTATTGTGACTAAACAAGGCTAAATTCAATTTCTAAGACAACAGCATTATTATTAATCTGTTCACACTACCATCCGTGCCTTGCAGGTGAAAAATATGCCTGTGAGAATCAAAACTTATATAAAGCTGCTGGCATTCCCTTCTCAATTAAGGGATGTTAAGAAATTATTTCTACATAATTCTAATACAGACAATCTTTTTCACATTTATTTTAATGTACCTTTAATCTTCAAGTGACTTTAAATTGTGGGTTAAATAATTAAAAAATATAAAGATATAGGTAACAAAATTAGCAAGATAAATCCCACATAAAAACATTTATTGCATTATTATATCCTCATACCTAACCTAGATTTTCTCAGAATAATTTCTGGCCTGCAACCAGAACTAGTCATCATTTCAAAAGAAGTTTAAGTAACAACTTCAGAATAAGCCCTCTGTCTTATAATTAATTTAAGCTGGAACTAATTCTTTTTTTCAAGTCAATTACAACAAACATAGGAAAAAAACTTTTTGGTGTTAAAATGTCTTGCACCAGAATTTATATTCCACACGAATATGAAATGTATAATCAAAAAATAGCAGTGCATTAAAGGCAAATGTAATACTATGAATTAAAAATTGCGAATGGGAAATTCTCTGTAAATTTAGGTCGTTTGAGGGACGAAATTTGATACCGCATAAGTTTTGGTCTGTTCACAGAAGGGAGCAAAAGTAATGATCAGATCACTAACATTTTACTGGCTTAAGAAAACTCCTTATTTCCCTATTTGGTTTCTTATAAAAAAGTCAATCAAACAAAACAGCCGAAGGGCAATTTCAGGACGTAAAACAGAACTCTGGCACAAACTGGGGCCTTAAATCCACACCTGCTATCAGGAACCCATTGTTGAGCAGAAGGCAGCATCACTACAACGTTACAGTTGTACCTTTTCATTGCCCAGACACCAAGTCACGCCCATGTGCCTCGTGAGAACTGCCCTTGTCATCACAGAACTTAATCACTTAGGCTTCCCTGAAACTGAGTCAGAACCCAGAAATACTGTGTCCTTCAGATTAGCCCCTCTTATATGTCAGGCCAATAGACGTTCTCTGAAGAGAATAGGTAAGGTCACGAGTTTATCAGAATGCAGGAACAACTCTTAGCAAGCATATATAAGACTGTCAGACATTAAATGCTTGTTTATATAGAATGCTTACTTTAAAAAATACCAGTTATGTATTACTTAGTATTGATTGCTACAGGTGAAAAATATTCAATTAATAACAGAACTACAAAAACATTTTTGACTAGAGTTCTGAATGCATTACTTGCAGGCAAAGCCAATAAGGATTAGCAGTAAATTTAAATTGTCTTGTATGCTTAAGTGCTAGTTTCACAAAGGATTAATTATACTTTTGAAGCAACTTACCAGTGACATCAGTTTTTATGTCAGCAAGCTTAAAAAGAGGTGCAACTTGTTCATAATAAACATGAGTGGCTTCTTTTTTGTGGCTGCTTGGATTAACAAACACTTTTAAGGATTTTGGTCTGTTTTGAAAGCCTTAAAAGAAAAACACAAAATATTTAAGATTACATACAGCCCAACCATTTTTACAGCTTAAACAAATTTCTGATATTAGAATCATTAAAATACTTCAACAAGATAAGTAAATTATAGTCTAAAAAATGTTTCAATTACTTCTTGGATATGCATTATTTATCTCTAAATTACAGTACTGATTACTTTTGTGTGTAGAGCTAATAAACAGTTGTAGGAACCAGAAAAAAAGTCTATGTCATAACCTAGCTAAATCCTGATACAGGAATAGAAGGAATGTGAAGAAGTTCTAAGCTTGAGCAACAAAAAAGAAAAGAAACACAAACACCAAAACATATCCATGTTGGAATATAATATGACACCCTCCTGGCAGGCACATGAAAAAAAACACCCAGTAAAACTGATACTACAACACGATACTTTTGTTTTCTGAAAGTGCAAATCAAACAGTGCAAACAAAATTCCCTCACCTTGAAGGAGGTCCAAAGAAATAGAAATAAAATATAAAACTTGGCAATATCATTCAGAAATCTGAGAATTATTGTTCATTTTATTTTTTAAACATTTCGATCTTCGAAGTAATGAACTCCAAGGAAACAACACTGAGAAATAATGCTATACAAGCTGTACCTTGTCTTGCACATTGATCCCATGAAGTAATTTTATTCTTTGAAATGCAGCATTTTGTTGAATAATAAATAACTCGTACTAAACAAATAACATTACTTTTCAAGTTCTCTTCTCTAGAATTCCTAAAATTGCCATGGTTCAGTGAGGCTGCTTTGCTACAAAAAGCAAGCAGTAGCATGCAATACTGCTGTTGTTATGTTAATTATTTAACATATATGATTTAAACAATTCTAGTTCTTATTTTAGTATCAGGTGAGACTATCACTTTCTTAGCCAAATAAAAGCTAGAATATCTGGCAAGTGTACAGCTTTCAACATTCAAGAACAAAACTAGTAGTAGGCCACAACTCCAAAAGGAGCCAAGTGTGAAAGCACATTTTCCTGGCCCCTGAAGAGTATTACTTCAATTTTTACAGCCATGTGTACCTTCAGAGTATCAGCTGGGACTTTCTGAAGCTCATTCCACTTACTTTCCCTCAACAATTGAACGGGAACAATTCCTCAAAAAATTATAGCTGAATACTATTTCATCAGTAAAGAGGAAATATTTTCCTTAAGACCAAAATATAACAATTGTAAAAAGTCCCATAGACTATTTTTTTATTTATTTAAACACATCAAATAATCTGGAAATGAAAACTAGTACTTTATCCAGTTTGTGTTCGTAAATTTAGATGATTTCTTAAAGATACTGAAAGAAATTACTGGATCAATTTGCTGCTATAAACCCAAATGCATACTCCAAAAAATTTTATAACTATATTTATGTCAAAATGTTACACACAGTGTCAAGTCATTGCACAGCAAACTAATCCTGAGGAATCCTTAATGCCTGAGGAATCCTGCATGTCTTTAGCACAAGCCTTAAAAAGTATCTCCTTCAAAAAGGAGAAAAAAGAAAATGGAAAGAAAAGCAACTTGGTGAGGACTGTGGATGTGTTGGAGGGCAGGGCGGCTGTTCACCAGGACCTTGATTAACTACAAGAAAGGTCTGACAAAGCCTGAAGATGTTCAATAAAGACAAACACACAGGTCAGCACCTGGCCTGGCAAAACCCTATGAGTTGGGGGGATTGGGGACAGACTGACCACTCAGCACCTCTTCAGAGAGAATCGGGAGCTCCTGGTGGACAAGGAGCTGAGCATGAGTAAGAAGTGTGCCCTTGATGCAGTGAAGTTGAAGTGCTTACTGGGTTGCAGTAAAAAGAGGACAACCAGCAGTCCAAAGGATATCACTATGCCCTTGTTTTTGACATCTTTTGAGCCCGAAGTTGAAAAACTGCATCCACTTTCAGGGCCCCCAGCACAAGACTGACGAAGCGGAGAAGGTCCAACGGAGAATTGTGACTACAACGAGGGAACAGGCCACAGACAAGAGTCGGTGGTAGCCTACTTGTACAGCCTTAAGAGCAGAAACTACCTAAATGCTTGCCTTAAGTATCTACTGCAGGAGTACAAAGAGCACCAAGCCAGACCCCTTGTAGGTGCAAGGACAAAAAGGCAACGGACACAAGTTGCACAAGGAATATTCCAATGTGAAAAAAAGAACAACACTCTTCACAATGAGGGCAGTCACGCCATGGATGACATTGTCCATCCTTAGAGATTTTTAAAACTTACCTGTACATGGCTCTAAGCAACCTGATCTCTTTTAGAAGCTCACCTGCCCTGAGCAGGAAGCTAGAATGGATTATCTCCAGAGGTCCATTCCAATTTAAATTATTCCTGATTCTCTAGAAACAGAAACAAGCACTGCAGCTATGTACTTCAGTGCAATTTCTAATCACAGGAATTACAACACAAACAGGGAAGACTACAGAAAAGTTTCCAAGGACTATCAATACATATAAATCATCATCATAAAGATATTATAATAATGTCTTAATTGAAATACGCTATCTGGTATTATTGCAGTTTTTTAGAAGCTATAAAAATATTAAGACCAAAAAAATAATTTCTGTAATTTGATAATTTGCCTAAAGCATCAGTAGAAATTAAATTGAAAACTACAATAATAAGGACTCCTGATTTAAAAAAGTAAAGATTTAGTCACATTCATAAATGTGCTGTCATGCTTTTTATCTTCTTTACAGGAACTCCTACCTGGGACAGCTGGTCCTAAATGCTCAACCCCCACCAAACCCAGAGCCACAAAACTCTAAAAACTGGCTTCAGAGTCATTGATTTCTAAGTATACCTTTAAACTTAAAAAAAAAACCACCAAAAACTTTGTTGTAATATAAGACACAAAGCAGAGGGAATAGGAAAGTGTAGTTTATAGAATTAGAGAAAGGTGATGAAGTGTCATAAATTGTCACCCAGACAGTGCAAGTAGCAACACTGCTAAACAGTCATTAGGAGAAAACTGAAGGGAAAAAAGCAAACATCACTATCTCACTTCCATGTTTTTGAGTTTCAGGTGTATAAATTTAAGCCCTGGGTAGCAACATACAGGTTTAAAAGAAATCCTAAGTATGGAAAAGAATACAGGTTTTTCAACTGGTGAAAAAAAATTCTATGTTTTTAAGGAAACAGTTGAACTTCATTTTTTAAAACAAAAATTGGTTTATTAAATGATTCTAAGTCAGAAACTGCATTTAAGATGATGTATATTAGGCTATTGCTGAAAAGTAGATCAGAGTTGACACATAAATCCTAGTGAGATTTTTAAGAACCAAATGAATTCACAAGGTAAAAGTATTGGAATATTCTCTTTATGACTACTTGAATATCAATTTACTTTTTTGGAGAGGTAAAATATTTCATTTGCAGACACAAGTATCATAAATAAGGCTTTTGAGCAGAGCTGGTACACTACTGATGTGGTTTTGTTTGTGCCAAATAATTGCCAACTGACATGAAAGGATGATCGTGACAAAAATAATTACTTTATCATTCCCAGCATGCACTGAACAGGTTATAACACACCAAACAACCGAGTTTTATAAAAAATATCCAGTATCAGTCAAAGATTAAACTTTCAGGCAATATTACTGTGAAACGTCTTTAAAAGTATTTTTAAATAATAATCTTTTAATTGTCTTTAAACAACATCTCCGTGAATGAATCAATGTCATTGACTACAGCGTGCAACTGAATCCAGTCTGCCAGCCTTTTGGTGTTCTCCTAACTGGTATTCTGTTATTGTTTTCTGTGGCTGCTCCGTTTGAAATGAACCAGCAGCCTAAAGCAGGAAGGCCAACTGTTCCTCTAGTACTAACAAATGTGCTAATATGCACTAGTTTAAACTTGATCTATCAAGTGAATCAGTGAACCATGAAGGGTGGTGGGTCAATCAGGGTGTTCTGAAAACAAAGGCTCATAGGGCAGCAGAGACGCTGTGCTCAGACATACATCTGTGCTGCTTTCAGTCCTTAGCTTTATGAAAATGGGTTTATGTTACAAAAGTTAAGAGCGTGGAATCATGTCATTACTGCCTACATTTATAAACACTTTATTCAACATTAAGAATATTATACATGAGAAAAACTAATAACATGAGACGAATTTGTTAATGTAACTATGGAGATACCACTGTTAATATTAACTAACCAAAGTTAATGTTTAACATTAATGGTTTAATTAAAACTTCATGCATGAAGTTTCAGGCATTCATATCAAATCCCAGTATGATACTACAGAATAGTAGATAAAAAAGCACTTCATGCTTTCTTTGCTGCTTTATCATTTATTCTTAACCACATTTACTGTCTTCTGTTAATTTACAGATTTTTAAGTACAACATTTTCAAAAAAACTGTTAATGAAAATAAGTGTTATTTTGTTTAAAAAATTCCCCCAAAATGGATAAGCATTGACAATTGAGCATTTTCCCTCATTTCTGAGCCTGCCTTAACCCTTTAAAAAATACTGTGCGTTTGCATGCACTGAGGATTTTACATTAAACAGTGAATTCTACTGACACAGTATGGCCCCACTGTACCTGCCCGTAAGTCCTGTACTAAAAGATGTGACGTATAAATGGAAATCACTGAGAGTCAGGTGTGTAACAGGACTGACAGGAGAGCAACAGCACATTACAATCTTTCTAGGCTGCTCTTTGGGGCCTTCCAGGAGCCAGTCCAGAACCAATGTTCCACAGGTGCATTAAGATGGCACCTTACACATTAAGATGTAACCTTACATCAGTTTAACAAACACATGGTGTACAGAAGATCAGTTTTCAGGACCACCATATCACTGAGCAGGCCCTTCATATCCAACTGGCATGCATTTGAACAGTGGCAACATTAGGTAGAAAATAAAATTTATTTAAAAGTGGGAAGATGGTGGTACATATATCTTGTTACCCTGTCACACACACAAAAAAAACATAATAGGAGTCACTGTAACTAAATTCTAAACCATTATATGTCTTTGTGTGCTTACTTCTATGATGACAGGCTTCATAAAAAATTATAGCCTAGTCAAACTTTAAATTGAAGTACTCTGAACACAAAGTCAAATCAGAGGACACTCGCTATGAAGAGAGTAAGAAAGAACAGAGAAAAAAACATGTATGAAACATTCATGCCAGACAAATCACACAGTAAAAGAGAAATTGTGCACATGAAATTTCAGAAAAAAATGAAATCTTCATTGGAAGATCAGAAACCTCCAGATAAAACTCTAGCTCACATCATCACTGATAAACTTTCTATTGTTGTTCCTTAATTAATGTATATGCATAAAAATATTAAAAAATCTTGCCAAAGAGTAAGGTAAACAAATAGAAATTGCATTTATCTTCAGAGGAAACACACCTGTCAGTCTCATGTACAGTCATTTTTCAGAATGTCTAAGTACTGTTGACAGACATACCCAAATATATATATGTTCTACTTTGGTAAATCACCTCCTTTTCATTTGCTACAGCCCAGAAACAATAAAAAAAACCCCTCCAAGTAAATAATGCAGCAGTTAATGAAAAATTACTTTGGGATCAGATAGATTGGGGGAAGGGGGTAGGGCAGTACACTGAAATTTTAACTATTTTAGAAGGATAAAACCAAAAGGAGACACTTTGAGTTCATTAACAAAGATGTCTCCAACACTATTATGAAAGGAAAAAAAAAAGCTGCAGCAAAAACTATGAAAATTCATCACTGTTTCACGCAGAGATATCAAAGTGCCTTTTGAGATTTCAGTTACTGTGAAATCAACAGAACTCAACTTCATTGTATACTTTTAGTCCAGACCTAAATCCTACTGGGAACTTCATACCGATGTTTGGTACATTTTCATTCAGAAGACTTTTTTTCTGAATTATACCATAACTACACCATCACTGTTTGAATTACTGATAATGGGCCTCTGCCACACTGAGTGCATAAATATTGATGGTTTTTTGGTGATTTTACTAATAGGAAGGCAGTCTGACTATCTAGCCAGAACATAACAGTATGAAAATTACTTTTATTGTAATTATAGAACTTAGAATAATATACACACTAGTCAATGATATTTGGGGGCATGGTTGTCTGATTATTTTTTCCCCTCCGAGTTTCATTATTCCTGAGGTAGAAGGCAAGTAGAAAAAAATATACTGATCAGACATCAAAAAAAAAAATCAGCACAAGGTTTGAGCTTCTGGAGAAAGACAAGCTGAAGGAAGAACTTGAAACAGCAACATTACACAGAATACTTTTTTCAGGTTCACGTGGCTTCCAATTACAAAGCTATAAAACAGAGACTTCACCTTGAGGTCAAGGCAACCTGAGCAGAGATACTGCAGGTTTTTTTTCTGTGAACATATGGTATCACTGCTCCTGATAGATGGAGGGTAATCTGGGAACAAAACAGACATTTGCTCCTTATGCAAATGTCCTTGCCTTTATGGGTAGCTGGAGATCTGCAGGAATCTTGGCACTTCTGCAGATTTAGATATTTCACAGTAAAGTCTTTCAAAAAGGAAGACTTTTTAATAACATCTTCATTTGAAAAATCCAAAGTATACTGTAGACAGACAGTGTAAGAATGCGCTGTTAATAACTCATGTTGTATCTCTAATATCTGCTTCGACACTTTAAAGTCATTTTACTAGAAGTACACTATAAATTGTTATTGAAAGTGTTGTTACAAACACTACAGATGTACAAGATTTGAATTCTGTAATCTCCCTCAGTCTTAACAATTCACCTGGAGTTTTAATAGTCTATTATAAGACGGACTGTTTTATTTCTGTTCTAAACAAACTCATTTGCTATAATCTGTAAACAGAGGCTTGTTTTGGAGCTAAATCAGAGTTTGGTGTGGTGACGGAAGTGTTGTTTGGGGTTTTTAAATCAAAAGTGTGCTATATTATGTGTTTTTCCAATATAAACTAGAGTAAAAGGTTTGTATTTCTTGTGGGGCTCTTTTCCCTAAACAGTGAATAGTTTTTCTTAAACTGGATACCACTTCCATAAAAAAATAAAACTATAATGGGTAAAACAAAGCATCCTGAAATGGGCACTAGCCTAGGTAAACACAGAAAGATATTTTTAAAGTAAATAATTGCTTCTCATCATTAGTGTCAATACACTTTATATCAAATTATAGAGAAGTTCTACAGAACCTTAAGAGCACTGCCACCTGTGAATTTATGGAGATGAGGAAAGTCTCTCCCATTAGTCTCTTAAAGAATCTGCAGGTCTCAAGTGGGAGGTCCTAAACAGTCACCAAAACATTCTTGAAGAGTTCTCAGAACAGCAACTACTGTAGTAGTGATGCAATTTCAAGTGAAAATATCAACAAAATATTTTATTTATTTCAGAAACAGATTTCCCAAAAGACTCTTCAGTCAGAATAAACTACTTATTTACAGTATCTTATAAAACACTTCCAAAAAATAGCATCTATTTGTTTAATTTTTACAGATAGTCAATTATTGTCACTTCCCTAAATTTCACACTTCACCATACAAAATTTCAGTACTACACATTTGCCAGAAATAACATTCATATCTGCATGTCTTAATTTCCACAGGCAAAATGTTTCTAAGCTTCACTCAGCCTCATGTATTGCCAATAGAAATAACATCAACCCCAATCAAATGCTTACCGTTCAAAATTTCCTTCAGATGTCTAAACCACGACTGACAATGATCTTCACTTAAGTTATTTAAATGGATAGCACAGTCTGTTAGTTTATTCTCTTCTTTATTCAAGCATTTAAAAACTGTGATACCCAACAAAGTGCCACCTTTTGTCTGGCCTGCAAAACGACGTCGTTTCAGTTTTACCGAAAATACATCTTTCATTTCAATAATCTCCTCTTGAGCCTGTAAAACCATACTGGAATCATCTGTAAGGGGGAAAAAAGAAAAGCATTAGCAATATGATTAGGAGTACACATATAAAAAAAGATATTGTTATGGCTTCATCTCTAGCTTCATTTGTTGCATCTGTTCGTGCTTGTATTGAAACTTGTTGCACAGCATTTGTCTCAGTCACAGGTCTTATATTTTACCAGCTTTCTGTTATGTATCCAGCTATACAAATAACACAATATCAAAGGGATTATTTAATCAGTTTTCTGATATTCAAAAAAATTAATAACATTGCACACTCTAAGAACAGCAAATGACTTTTTTTGTATTTGCATTCAAGAAGCAAAATCTTTATTGTATTCTCCTAAATCATAGCAAGCATGGATGTTGTATACTTCTCAATCATAGATCAGAAATTGTGCTATGATTCAAGCTGACTATATGCTCACTGTATTATTTCATTTGAAACAACCATTGCATTTGGGGTTTACACTAGAAATGTATCAGAAAATAGTTAAGCAAAACTAGAGAAATAAACCAGAATTTCATTTTTGAGTTATGAATTTACCTTAGAAGACAAGAAAAACAGTTTCAAAAAAGTTCTTGTGACAGTTCAAGATCCTCACCCCTAGGAGAGATTTGTGTTAGGCTAAGTGAAGGTTTTATTGTTTTAGGGCTGTTACATACATGGACACTATGGCTGCAGACACTATCACTTCACTTCCAAATGCCTTTTGGAGAGGTATCAACTGAACCACTATGGTACAGGCTTCTCCTTTTTCTGCTCTCTTGCGCTGCAAAACACCTGATTCCTCAAAAAAACAAAGTCAAATACACAAACTGAAGGGAAAATGTCGCTGCTCCTGTAGGTGCCAGGTACTCTGGACACAGAAAGAAAAGTTTCCTCACTTTCTTTGTAATAACAGCAGATCTGATACACTGTCCAACAAAGGTCCCTTTGTAGCCCAAGGCAAGAACTGCGAGAAACCAGAAACCTTTCCCAAATCTAGCAACAGCTCTGTCAACTGGTTTCTCAACAGCAAAAGCCATAACAGATTCTGTTTGATGCACAGTTGCTACATGCTGCTCTGAAGTGCCAGGAAAAGTGTATTTTAACTGCCATCCTGGGAAAGATGGACAGCACCACCTACTTCATTACACCATATGAAGCTGAGGGTTTCAGCAAGTCATAGGTCTTCTGGGCAGGAAAAAAGAAGACTGTCAATTCTTGTAACAGTTTTATGCTGGCATTTCTCAACATCATTTCTTGAACGAGACTATGCAGTGATTATCCTTCTATCCAGAAATCCTGGAGGACTGCACCTCAGCCGTGCTAACACAGATAAGGCTCAAATCAGTATTACCTCTCCTCACAATTCTCAACCAAATCATTTTTTCCAGTTCCATACCAAATAACCTGCTACAAATGGAACCATGCCCTTATTATACTTCCTATGTATTTTTCCCACCTTGTTATATTTTAACATCATAATTTCTCCATAAATCAGCTACTAAGGTATAAAATTGCACTGAAATCATTTCATTCTTAGCAGGAATACTGTGACAAGTAAACGTTCGTGTGCACTGAGATAATACACAGGCAATTGTAGTGCAAATTTTCAGAAGTACACAGCAAATAAACAGGAGGAAACTCACCTAACAATTAAAAAAAAACAAAACCAACAGATATCTTAAAGTACTGTAATGATTGCTGTAGAAGTATTTTCTATAGGATACATTGAATGGAATCAAGGAACTGCGTGGGGGAATATTGTGTGATTCCATTTGAATTATGATTTTCCATAGTCTCAAAGTAGACATTGCACAAGTAAATTTGGTACTAACATTACCAAACTCAAGATCTTCACTTTTTTCAAACTTTGTATTGTTCTTCTAAAACATTTAGGGGTAAACCATCTTGGTAGGTCTTAAAGGAAAGATTGACTGGTGATACCCCAAATCACTTACCTGGGACTGCATAGTTTATTATCTTTATCAAACACTTGTTTTAATTTTTAAACCAGCATTTTCAAGGGGTCTGCTTATTATTTTTTTCTAGAAAGTCTCACTGTCAGACATACAGTATACTGAAAATTCTAGCATGCAAACTCAATGTTTTAGGAAAATGAGTAAACAAAGACACATGAAATATAACCACAACCATTCTGCAGCAGTAACTCAGCTGCAGCATTTATTTCCCCAGACCAATACAAATATTCTAAAGTACTTTGCTTGTTAAATACTTCTAAATATTGTGGCACTTAGTGCCATGGTCTAGTAACCACAGCGGTAGCAGATCAAGGGTTGGACTTGATAATCTCAGAGGTCCTTTCCAACCCGGCTGATTCTATGAAATAAATAATATTTTTAAATAAATAATATTTTGGATTAAACTATTAGTTTTGCAGAGAATATCACAAATTCTAGTATGCCAGTGTTATGGATGGGCATCACAGATAAATTACAAACATTAGCCTATTTGTCCTGCACAAGTCAAGTATATTGAAGGCCTGTTAAAATACTTTTTTATTCCCCACTAGCTTTCATAAAATGATATTTAGTCATAAGCTAGATAAGGTCTGCCTTTTCTTTTCATGACACTATTTCAGCCAGTTACTTACTTGTTTTTACATCTTCCTCTTACTGTGTATTTATAAAATTTTTGTGTTGCTCACAAGCAGGTTAAACCTTTTGAAATTTAAAATAACACATTCTCACTAGGCAGCACTACACTTACAAAACCAGCATCTGACTCTGGTTGTTTTACTGGAATACATTTCCAGATGCAGCTCAGAGTAATATATTAACTGTAGAAATACTGAATCATACAAAACCATCACCCTTAGGTTTTAATCTGTAGAGGAAATGTTGAACTAGCTAGTAGGATCAGGACAGTCAATTGTTATTAAAGTTGTTAAGAAATCTGCATAAAATCCCAGGCATATTCTAAAATTTTCATATTCTATGCTTACTGAAAATAAGGTCATTGCAAATACAGTAAAATTTTATTTAAAAAGTCAGATAAAGAATTTATACCTTATAGAGCTATATTGATAAAATACTTCTACTGTGTGATAACAACGAAGTTTACTTTCAGAATAAAGTGTGTACTGGATTACATACTTTTTTTAAACTTTGAAAACCCTATTGGTTTGTTAGCATGACATTGGTTATTGCTAGCAGTTTCAGGACATTAACTGTCCTCTCACATTACTTAGAAAGATATTGGGTACCATCTGTTCTTGCAAGAGATTTAAGTATACATCTATTAGATATCATGCTATTTATTTAATTCAGTACCCACTTCCCATTGTTGTATCTTCTGAAAAAAAGTCAATTTAATTACAGGGAATAAAGATAATCTCTTCTACCAGGCTGCCCTGTCATCATGAAAGCAGAGAGGGAACCTGTATAAAGTAGGTTACAGGCGTTAGGAAAGAGAAAAACTAACAGCACTTAACATTTAAAAGATCTAACAAAACCAGAATATACGGCACTTAAAAAAAAATTACTATAAGCCAAGGGCTTGTCTAAATCAATCTCTGCACATCTGTCTGATGTAGAGCGTAAACAGGATTAGAGGTGGATTTATCTGCTTGACGCTAATTGTACTCACAGTTTCTGCACATGTCCACTTTTTTTTTCCAAATACAGCATAAAAAAAAGAAAAGCCTGGATATATGAATTTCTAGGAAGTTATATGCCCCTATTTATCCTCTCACTAATTTCAACCAATGAGACTATCTCACATTTTTCCTAATTATGGTAGTCCAACCTCTTATTAAATAAAAAATTATGTCTACCAAGCTAAATCAAAAGATGAGGAACTAATACATTCAAATATAGTTTAATTATAAATAGCGAGCCAAATTTTAATTAGTTAATACAGTGTTAAACTACACATTAAACAAATAGATTACCTCATGTTTACAGGAGTACTACTGAAAAATTAAACAGTTTTAAAGACAATGTGTTATTAAAATATAAACACCAAGACTTCTATAACAAAACACTTTTTGGGCTGTTTTTCTCCCACAGAGTCCCAACATCTAGAAGTGGTACTTAAGGACTTTATTTCCATAACAAATATCTGGAATACACGGAAAATTGCAGAAAATACACATGAAATGGGACCATATAAGTTAAGCAGAAGAACTGGACAAGAAGCAAAATGGGTTATACTCCCTTGGTCACAAATGCTTTCCATGACCTTTGGCAAGACACCCAGCCCCCTTTAACTACATTTAATAGATAAATCTTTTACACAGTTTAGGCTCCCTGTTCCATTACACTCTCAAAGTTTACTTCTGTGACAGTTGATTGCTCTAGTTGAGCACAGTGTAACATAACAGAAATAATGAGAGATTTTAGAAAATCATTAAGACTATACCCAAGAAAACACAGTGATCAGTACTTATTACAGAAGTGTCTTATTACAGAATTGATTACAGACCATCCTACACTGTATGAACACTTCAAAATAACCATTCAGGATATACAATAAAATACAACTGTATTAATATAAACCCAAAAATAAAATAAATATAATCAAAAATTAAATTAGTTTTGAAAATACATCTATAAATTTAGGTTTAGGAATATTTAAAATTAATATGATAATGTCTAATGCATATAAAGCAGCAACTATTAACCCATCAATAATTAAGCTTGGTTTTCCCTTACTGTAAATTAGCAAAGCACAGTAAGCAGAATGTAACTGATTCATAAAACCTCCACAGTTTTCGCTTCTTATTAATTAAGAAGGGCTTGCAATGAGAAATACAAAGAAGCAGGTATGATTATTCTTGCCAGAAGAGCGAAGAATCACTGTAAAGCTTGTCAGGCTATTCAACACTCTAAATATGAGACAGAAGAGCTATTTTCAAAACACCTGAATTTTCAAGGTGGGGTTTTTTTTTATTTCAAAAAGACAGGTCATGCAACACCTCTGATGTTATGCTTCTTACTCTCTTTTGAAGCAAAGAAAGCAAAATTGCAATTTCTGCTTGCCAAAAGTATCAAACAGTAAGCTGAG